CAGACTGATGGACACAATAGACACGGTGGACAGTTGGGGACTGCACAAGGACAGCCACGGACAGTTGGGGACTGCACAAGGACAGCCACGGACAGTTGGGGACTGCACAAGGACAGCCACGGACACTTGGGGACCGCACAAGGACAGCCACGGACATATGCGGACCATTCCACGGACTGTCCATCGGCTCATCAGGGAAAACGCTTGGTTCAAGCACCAAATAAGCTTGGACCTAAGTGCATGTGGTACTTGAATTAAGCGTCTATTGCACTTGGGTCCAAGTTTATTTGAAACATGAATCAAGTGTTTTTGTCTCATTACAACATTACAAGAGAAATTGCTCTCAAATCAAAAGAAAATGCTCTTCAATCAATTAAGAGAATTTTGCTCTTGAACCAAGACTACGGCTCTCTGAGTGTAAAATGTGGAAAGGCTCTTTCGGAAACTTTAAAATGACTTAGTTTTAGGCCAAAACAAGACTTTTTTTGTGGATGTCACATTCAGTAATGATCATGCTAACAGCGATCATTTCATTTTCAACAATTTCAACCTAAATACAACATTTTTTGACCTGTATCATGAGAGAAGGGCGCCCTGGAGAAGAAGCTTTACAGCCCCTGGACCCCGCTTTTGAACCTGGGAAACCAATAGGCTCTGGCTGCGTTCATTTCTCGCACACGGCATTGAGTTCATGAGATTCCTGACTGTTTTCCCTATAGAACTGTCTTTTGCCCGACTTTCTGCGATCAAAATTGCGCTTAACAGAGCCGATCACTGAGCGCATTCGAAGTCGGCGGAGCCGGCGGCCGCCCTGGCTGCCAGCCGGTCTGGGCGGTTTCGCCCTGTTCGAGCTCGCAGCACCCTTATGTGTCGACCAAATGAGTTAAGATTTGGTACCTGGGGGTTTTCGAGCATGCTGATTTCATTTCCGGTGTCAGATTTTACTTCCGGGGTCATCCTAGGGGCGTTATCGGGGACCTTGACCCTTGTGTTCCCCCGGAACGACCCAGGTATGACCCCGGAAGTAAAATCTGACACCAGAAATGAAATCAGCATGCTCAAAAACCCCCAGGTACCAAATCTTAACTCATTTGGTCGACACATATGGGCGCTGCGAGCTCGAACAGGGCGAAACCGCCCAGACCGGCTGGCAGCCAGGAGCCAGGGCGGCCGCCGTCTCCGCCGACCTCGAATGCGCTCAGTGATCGGCTCTGATAAGCGAAATTTTGATCGCAGAAAGTCGGGCAAAAGACAGTTCTATAGGGAAAACAGTCAGGAATCTCATGAACTCAACGCCGTGTGCGAGAAATGAACGCAGCCAGAGCCTATCGGTTTCCCAGGTCCAAAAGCGGGGTCCAGGGGATATAAAGCTTCTTCTCCAGGGCGCCCTTCTCTCATGCCTGTATTGCAATTTTTAGCTCTTTTTCTTTTTTTCGCTGTTTGGTAAGGGGGGGAGGGAGAAATTTGGACGTCCAGGGGAAAGGGGGGGGTACC